GTCACTCAAAACGAAGGCAGTGAAGGAAAACGCCCAATCTGTTTATAAATGTGCAAAACAATCCTCTAGACAAGCGATTACTCAAGCAAGATACTACTCACAGATGGTGGCTAGACCATTAATCACAGCGTACGCTGCTGGGTGAATGTGAGCACAGCAGGCCGAGGCAGAGTGGGCTGAGGGGCCTAATGTGCAGTCACCTGCCCTGAGGTCACTAGAGCATCCTCAGAGCCATGACCCACCGAGGGAATTTTCTTTTCACACTTGCCTTCTTGCTTTCTTGCTCCTTCCTAAACAGAACAGCTCCAAACTGTTACAAACGTGTGTACTGAGTCATAGAATAAAACTTTCTAATCAGATTCCCCCGGCATACCCTGGAGATTAAAGATGAGGTCCTCGTGCAGAAAGGCTCCTGTTTAGACGAGGAGGGAAGGCAGGGCGTGGGGTGAGGGTACAGAGTGTGCAAAGGCGAGCAACCCAAGGCAGGGGTGATCTTTGCTCCTCCTCTTCCTGACTGCCTTCTCGCCCCGGAGGGCCCCCATCTGTGTGCCCTTCTCTAAGCAGCCATCCCTGACTTCCAGGATTGGGCGCCCCACAGCTGCCTCTGCTTCCTCCTCTGCAGCTTTTCACACTGAGTCGTAACTGCCTTTTCAGATGTTTATGTCTTCACCCTGTCTTCCAGGCCCTTAGTGTGATGTCTGTGGGAACAAGAACCCTGCCTGCCTATGTCACTGTTGGCACAATGCTTGTTTGTTGACAGGTTCTGTAAACAGCACTGATGATGTCCTCATTGAGTGGAGATGGAGGATTATTTCAAGTCCAGGGAAAAGGACTGCAGCTGGCCCTGAGGGCTCAGTTAAGAACAAGAGCAGAGGGGGCTAGGGATTTAGCTCAGCGGCATAAGTGCTTGCCTTGCAAGCCTGTGGTCATGAGTTCAATCCCTGGTACCAGTAAAAAAAAAAAAAAAAAAAAAAAGAACAAGAGCGGAGGGGCTGGGGATTTAGCTCAGCAGCATAAGCCCCTGCCTTGCAAGCACGTGGTCGTGAGTTTGATCTCTGGTACCGATAAAAAAATGAAAAAACAAAAAGAACAAGAGCAGAAATGACATGGATCCCTAGGGCAGTGGTTCTCAAAGTGTGGTCCCTCGGCTAGAACCATCAGTACTACTGGAAAGTCCATGCTCTCCCTACCCTTGCTAACTCGGGGACTCTGGAGGGGGATGCTGGAAATAGGGGTTAATAAACTATCCAAGTGGCCACTGAACTCTCATAGACTCCCTCAGCCATGCTGGTGACTTTGAGGCCAGGCACAGCAAATGGAATTAATCTCACACGCTTCTTTCAGTTGATTGGTAGTGGCTGCTTAGAGCTCTTGTGTGAAGGATTCTGATGCCATGACTGTGTCCAGGGTGAAAGGTACCATGACCGAGCTTAGTGATGTCCACCAAGCAGGAGGAAGGAGTCCTCAGGACCTTGCAACTGCCCTCTGCCTTCTAGAACCAGGCCTGAATTTATGCAGGATGCAATAGAGCCCGTGCTCAGGCCTGAAGGTTGCCCAGGGGTTCTGTTCTGACCGTCGTGCTCTGGGTTTCCAGCTCAGGCCCTGTTTGTGTGCCCTGTTTATGTGCCCTGCCCCTTGACCCCTTTACACTAGTGTGGCTGTCACTGGGTCTTTTGCATCTGCGCTGGACCTGTCCGTATGACCATACCCTCCCCCTCTCCAGTCTTGGTTGACGTCCTTCCCTGTCAATGTTTGACCGATGCCCCCAACCCTTGTTCTGAGTGTGACCATTTTCTGACCACCCACTCTGGGCAGGTCAGATCCTACAGCTCTCTCCTTGGACACGCATAATACTGATGTGTGCTGAGAAAAACCAGTCCATTCTCTTTGCTGCCATTTGCAAACTCTTCACCGCAGTCAGTTGTGCAGGTGTTTACATGGTAGTCCCGGCCGTGGCCAGCTGCTCCAGTTATCTAAGAGAGGAGTCCTAGTGATGGGGCTCATAGAGGCAGAGGCACTGTGGTCACAGTGTGAAAAACTGAGAGGTCAGGTGCATTAAGAACATCTTGGATTGGCTGCTGGTTCACACTTGCTGGGATCAGATTGTGCATAGTTCCAGTCTCCTGGCTCTGGAGCTTGGCCTTCACGCTGCAGGAGGGACCAACAGAGGCTCTGGTGGGCAGTGGGACTGTTAGGAGCTTTTCGGCACAATAAAGGACTAGAATATAAAAGTAAAAGTGGGGGCTGGGGATTTAGCTCAGCGGCATAAGCACCTGCCTTGCAAGCAGGCAGTCGTGAGTTCAATCCCTGGTACCAATAAAAAGAAAAAGACAAAAAAAAAAAAAAAAAAAATGTTAAAGTGGCCTAAGGACGTGGAGAGAAGCCATAACTGGGAGGGGTCTGGGTTTTTTTCTCTACCCTAGATATGGAGTATGGGACATATGTAACCTTTGGGTGGTGCTTAGGGCCAACATTGATGACATGAGAGGAGCGGATTGGAATCTTCTTCGCCTGCACTGGGAAAGGAAAAGGAAGTTGTAATAGGGGAAGGAGGAAGTGACCTCAGGGTAAATATCCCTGATTTGGCTTTCCACCGCCATAATGTCCTGTAACTTATTCTAGGGCAAAACTCTTTCAATGATGCTTCCAGGAGGCACTGTGGGAGTCTGAATCTAAGAGAGCATGCAGGGAAGACCAAGCAGTGGCCACTGCATTATTCAGGCCCAACACAGCACTGGCTGTGGACATAGAAGAAGCCCAAGATGTAAAAGGATGCTGCGGGCTCCCTAGAGGGCACGCAGGGTGGCTGACTCGGTGCAGTGGGAAGGGCAGAGGCGAGTCAGGACACTGGAGTAAGAATAGCATCGTAGAAAGAGAGAAGAGCAGAGCGAGAGGAAGCTCAGAACTCGAGCTTAGTAGTCAGTGAGTTTGAGGGGAGTGGGGTGGCCCAAGAACAGGGACAGAGTGTTGGGCAGGCCTCATGGGGAGTGTGAGGGCTAGGCTGATCCAGATAAGGGGGGGTCTCCCCTCCACAGGAGAGTGCAGGAAAGAGGAGCGGGGAAGGGAGAGAGCCATTGTGGAGGTGAGGCCTGGCTTTCCAGGGTGGCTGCATGGGCCGGGTGAAGACGCCAACCAGAAGGGAGCGGCCCAAGCGCAGGGTGCCAGGAGGTAGCAGTGGTGGAATGCAGAGGGCACAGAGGGTGCTGGGGTCTGGTGGGCTGCTCCACAGTAAGATATCACGGAGAGGAAAAGAGAAAGAGATGGGCCATCCAGGGGTGCGTGTGCAACCTGACTGTCTTCATGGAGACCCTTTTACTGGCAAATTCATAGGTCATTCTGAGCCTGGAACTTGGTGACAGAGAGATCATTCTTTAAAATCCCCTACTTATGATCATACTCGTTCCATTCATTCAGATTCTGTTTCTCTGTGTCTGTGTCTGTGTCTGTCTGTCTGTCTGTCTGTCGCTGTCTCTCTCTCTCTCTCTCTCTCTCTCTCTCACACCCACACACACACACACACCCACACACACCTCCCTGATACACACCTTTCCATCAATGACTTCTGAAAGCCAACATGAAAGTAGTAGAACATAAACTGTTCTGCCATTTGCCTCTGACATAGTGGCCGAGTCGTTCTTCACCCAGTGGCAGCATAGGCATCTGTATTATTTTGACTTTAGGGTATTTTTGCCATAACTATGTTAACTCTAAACAGGAATGATTTGCATCTTTAACTATGACCACTTTGCGGTAGATGGTGGTAAAGCAGCTTTTCCTAGCAGTATCAGTGCATTGTGACAGTTTTCTCTCAGGAGGGAGGATATGAGGGAGGAGGAAAGCTTTGCATGTTTCTTGGAAAGCCTCCAGCAAGGTGGCCTGGGGAGCTCCCCACACCCTCCGATGAGTGAGGGGCCAGGACTTTGGCAAGGAGATTGTCAGCCAGCTTTTCTCCACATCAGGCTGTAGAGAAGGACTCTGGCTGGTCTCTTCCAGTTCAGCCAGCATTTATAGGGTACCTGCCATGGGACACAAAGGTGTCGTGGCTAGAAGGAGAATGGTTCCACCATTCTTGGGGAGCTCAGAATGTCAGCAGGTCGAAGGGCAAGAAACCAACACACTGCAGCAATTCTGTGTGTAAGGTGCTAAGTGCTAGAGTCAGTCTTGCCAGACGCAAGGTTCTGCTCCATTATGCTTTTGCTTCCTGCTGCAGTAAGCCTAGACATTAGCCATACTGAAAGCATAGGCTTTAGTGGATCTCTTATTGTTGTGAGTCATTGCTTAGTCACCCTAATTCTTTCTCCTAGGTCTCAGAAGAGAGCTTGATTTACGCCAGTTGTTGGGGTCACAGGCTTTGTAAGGTTTCTGCTGCAGGATTAGGCAGATGTGGTGTGAGAGAGCTGGTATTGTTCCTTTGCTATTCTGATTGTCTCAAGCTTTGTTTGGATCTAGTGCAGTTGATGGGGGTGGAGGACAAGGACAAGGCAGTCACCTCTGCAGCACCAGCTTTTCCTTTGGGACGGGTGGAGCTGCCCAGCTCTCTGAAATGTCATGCTTCTTCTTTTTTTATTGTCACACCAGCTGGCCCAACCCCAGCCCTCCTTTCCTAAGAAGAAGGCACTTTTCATGCCAATGTGAGGCACATGGCTTCTTCCCATATCCATGCCCTTTTTCTCTGTCCTGCATATGTAAAATAGACTAGAGCCATTCTAACCTCCTTCCTGTTCAGGGAAAGAGAGAGGCCTAGAAAGCTGTGAGTGTAACATGAGCAACCACAGCTCTGTCCATAGAATTTTGAGTTCCCATTTAAAAAATGAATGGCAGAGTGGAGATCATGCTGAAGAGGAAGGAGAGGAAAGTGATGGTTAAGGAGCAAATGAAGAAACTGATATGACAGAAATTGTGTGCTCTTTGTGGAAAAGAGGGGCCCTGATTTGGTACACAATAGGATTTCCTGGGACTCTGTTTTCTGTCACTGTAACAAAATACCTGAGATAAACAACTTATGCCAGAAAAAAAAGTTTATTTTGGCTCACAGTTTTGCAGGTGCCAGTCCATGATCACTTGGCTCTGTTGCCTTGGCCTGTGATGGCTCAAGTCTTTATGGGGTAGGGATGCAAAACTACTTGCCTTGTAGCCAAGGAGCAAAAGAAAAGGACTGGGGTCCAGTTTCCCCTCCAAGGGATGCCTCCAAAGACCCAAAGACTCCCGCTTGGCCTCCGTTTCGAAAGTTCTTTCAGCACATTAAGATCCAAAGTGTCAGCAGGCTCTTGTTCCTTGAGTGGCTGTGCAATCCTATTGGATAAACGCCCAAAAAGCAAGAACTGTGGAAACACCAGAAACAAAAGGGTAGCAGCCCAGAGATTTGAGGGTCTATTTGCTTCAAAAATCGAAGACAAACAGGCAGGTACTGAACAGTTTGCCCAGCCAAATCAAGGAACTGTTACTGTGAACAGCTAGATCAGAATTCAAAGGATGCAGTCTAAGGAGGACTGGAAACTTGGGCCTCAAGGTGAACTATTTCTGGGGTCAGCACAGGTCCAACCCTGGGGGGACCCAGAGATAGTGTGGAAGGTACTGCAAAGGCCATGGGAATAGAAATCTTTGGGGACCTTTGGGGAAAGGAAAAGGGGGCTGTGGTGTGAATAAAATGATGACACATATAAAAGAGTAAACGGAAATGCAAATTTGACTTTGATTTACAGAAAAATTAAACTATCATTGTTTACAGATGCCTGAATTTCCAGCAGGTGGAGATGTTAGCACATGAAAGAGAAATGTGACTGGTAGACCCAGTCCCCAACTCCCCTCACCTTCTCTAGAACAGCACCAGGAGTGAGAGGCAAAGAGGATCCCTGAAACGTGCAGACTCACCAGCTTTAAATCATTAGCGCTTTTAAAAAACTAAGTGAGACTCCGATTTCTAATTCCGAGGGTTAGCTTTCTAAATAATGTAAGCATTAACCGCATGGCTCCTTGTCTGGGGAGCTTTTGTTTTCAAAGGCTGTGTTTGGAAACTGTAGACAGAAAAGCATTCTGTTGCCTTCTAATCAACATACATTTGCATTACAGTACTTGCTACGTTAGGAGTTGGGGTTCCAGGGTTTTGTCTCTAGACATTCCCTCGTGGTCCTGGGCATAGGGTCAAGTTGTTGTCGCAGCATGCTTGCTTTCTGTTTTGGGCTTCTGAGCACTGGGGCAGGAGGCTTTTATCACACGGTAGGAGCACTGAATAGCTGTGCTCTGGAGGGTGGTGTTGGGGCGGGAGTAACTCATTAACATTAAACGCCCAGCCTGGGGAGTTATAGAAAGGGATCTTTTTGACAGGCAGCGTTGTCTGGGTGATCCAGGTGTTGGGGAAACACTTTCAGATCCACTGAGGATGTTGTAGTGAGTCTTTCTCTCCAAACCAAAGGATCCCAAAAGCCAAGGCTTATGCAGGGAGTAGCGGTAGACAAGGCAACACTGGCCCAGGCTTAAAGGGGATTTTTGTTTTTTTAGAACTTGTTTTTTTCCCCCCAGCATCTTTTTCCTGATGACTGTAATCAAAAGAACTCCAAATCCATTCAAATCTATGTTTTTAGGAGGTAGAGACAGGTCTTTTCCAGGATTTAGTGGTGGAATAAAGGGGAAGGGGAAGGAGGGGTCAAAGGGTATGAATCATGTCAGCTGGTTCTGCCTGATGTTCCCAAAAATGTGCCAGTCATACAAAGACACCAATTTCATGCCAAACCAATTTCATGTCTGTGTTATCATTGTAAAAAAATTTTTTAAAGAGTCTTGTTAATTGTGTATACAGCAAAGGCTTATAAATAAATATTTATGGTCTGGCCAGGGAATCTCAGGCATGTCGCATAGAATCCTGACCAACAAGGTTCAGAAGAACAGTACAGGTGGACCTCTCTTCATCTCCCTCTTGGTTCAAGCAGAGGTTATCCTCCCAGGCCTGGTAACCTCTTGTCGCCTGCAGGGCAGGCATAGCTGGACTTTTTGATCTTCTATTTTTTCTGTCCACCCAAGGCTACTTAATCTCTCTGGGGACAAGTGGAGACATTTGTTATTTGACCATCAACAGCTAATAGTTTTTGTGGTTTCCTCACATACACAGAGGACAAATCAAACCTGCACTCAGGATATCACACGTTCTCAGTAAAACCTGAGCCTTTCACAAGAACTGACTTGACTTTGTTTCGTATAAATCATCTGTTTGCATTTGTCCAGAAGGAGGCAATCAATATGGGTTTTTAACACTCTCGAGGGCTTCTTAGATTTCCATTGGGTAGCGGGTTGGTTCCTTCCCCTCCTCCTCCGTTACTCACCAGCGCTGAGACCCACTGTGTGCCGGGCACTTTGCAGCAGGAGAGCAAGGTGGGAGATGAAAACAGCTCCTGGACCCGTGGGAAACCTGGCAGCCTTCACACTCGCCTCATTGTCTTTGGGTTTGTAACAGCATCTTCATTCCCAAAGGATGGCTGAGTTTTCGCTCTGCTCCAGTGTGTTCCTTTCTGGAAGGCTTTTTGTTTTTTAGCTTTTTCAGGTTGTCCATCTACAGATGAAAAGGGAAAGAAGAGAAACCAGAAAAGCGAGTCTTCCTAGAGCAGATTGACTCACTGCTCAGCCTGGCTCCTGGAGTTTGACCTTCAGTTTTAATTACTTGTTTTATTAAGAGCAATCTGTTCATTAGCTCCTTTGGAATGTGTGTGTGTGTGTGTGTGTGTGTGTGTGTGTGTGTGTGTATTGACAGTTTTGAATGCTCATGGCATATTGGTTTCCTTTTTCCAAATTGTAAAATACACATAACATAAAATTTACCATTTTTAAACCGGGCATGGTGGGTGGCACACTCCTGTAATCCCAGCACTCGTGAGGGTGAGTCAGGAGATTGTCGCAAGTTCGAGACTAGCCTGAGCTACAAAGTGAGACCCTGTTTCAAAAGACAAAAATAAATGAATAAGTAAATAAATTACCTTTTTAACCATTTTTAAATGTACAGTCCAGTAGGGGTGCAGGCATTCATGTTGTTGTATAGAACTCTTTTCATCTTGTAGAACTGAAATTCCGTACCCATTGTATAGTAACTCCCCATTTCCCACTTTCTCTAGCCCCTGGCAACCATTATTTGCTCTATTTTCTGTCCCTGTGAATTTGAACACACTACATACCTCACTGAAATAGAGTCGTATGTTGTTTGTCATTTGTGACTGATTTATTTCACTCAGCATAATGTGCTCAAGTTTTATTCATGCTGTGCCATGGATTTGAATGTTTCTCTCTTTAAAGACTAAATAGTATTCCATTGTGTTTATACCACTTTTTTTTGTCTTTTTGAGACAGGGTCTCGCCATGCAGTTCAGACTGGCCTTGAGCTCACTTTGTAGCACAGGCTGGTCTCGAACTCGCAGCAATCCTTCTGCCTCAGCCTCCCAAGTGCTGGGATTACAGGCATGAGCCACCACGCCCGGCTCTTTATACCACATTTTGTTTCCCCATTCAGTGCTTGATAGATCCATGGTTGCTTCAACCTTTTGGCTGTGTTAATGATGTTGCTATGAATATGAGTGTACAAATACTTGTCAAAGACTACTCTCAGTTCTTTGGATATACAATCAAAAGTAGAATTGCCGAACCATATGGTATTTCCATTTCTAATTCTTCGAGAACTAACTGCCTTACTGTTTTCCATACTAGCTGTTCCCTTTTTACATTCCTACCAACAGTATACAATAACAGTATACAAGGGTTCCAGTCTCCTTGCCTGCACTTGTTCTGTTCTGTATTGTTTTTAGAAGTAGCCTTTCTGATAAATGTAAGGTGTTAGCTCCATTTTTAAGGGTAAAAGAGTAAAACAGAATGAATAACAGTCTCAGCAATCTCCCCATGCAGGTTAGGGAACATTTGCCTTTATGCATCCTTTATCAAGACCCAAACAGGATGGGCCCAGTATGGTGTAGACCAAAGGCTTAGGAGAGCTTATGTGTATTTCCTCCCAGTTTATGTTATCTAATTTGACTGCCATGCGACTGTCTGCTTTCGGTGAACCATTCATATGGACTTCACTAGACTGGGAAACCAAGAAGCAATTAGAACATGAAGAGTGACACTGCTGGAAGATCACATAGACAAGCTATGGAAGTTTGACAGTCTCTCAGTCTATAGAGATTAAATTCGGTTTTGGTTAAAAAAAAATTCGGTTTTGGTCTTCTATCTCCCTGTATCTCCTTTATTGTATAGTTTTCCTCTGACCTCCAGCATTCTGAAAGAGGCCTTGAATGTCCTTGATCTAAATGCTCACTTGTTTGTCAAAGCTCTGCCTGCAGAGTAATTTATAATATCGAGTTACCCAATGATTTTGCTTATATTCTGATCTTCATAGTACAGTGGAAAGGGCACTGGGATTACTCAGTCAGAAACATCACATTCTTCCCCAGCAAATATGTTGATTTAGACACAATCCTGCAAACCCCCCCCCAATCATTTAGGTAATTATGGCTGGCTAAATCTATCAAAAAGAAAAACAGAGTACCAGGCTATAGATCACCGTGACAGTAGGAGGGAAAAATCCACAAAGGCTCTTATGTATACCCTATGTGTGTGTCCCTCCAGATTCCAGATATCTTGGTCAGCTGACACAAACTTATCGCTGCAGCTGAACATGCGTGTTGGCAGGAATGCTTGCTGAAGGAAAAGAGTAGTGAGTCGGCAAGCGTCAGAAGGTGACGGCTGGGCCTGGGCTGCGGGAGATGATGGTGTTTCAGAATACAGGAGACTGGGGCCTTGGGCCCATAGCGGCCTCCCAAGGAGGAAGGTTAAGACTATCTCTCTGTGCAGATCCAATAACAAAAAGAAACCTCCAGGTGGCTGTTTGCAGGAGCCATGACAAAAAGTAAAATAGGATAATGAGACCCTGAGCCTCATTCCCCAGGTTTGTGTCCTCAGCAGCTGGAGTCCTGAAGAACAGCCAGAAAGCTGTGGAGCTTTTCTGGCAGCTTTTTTCTTGCAGGCATATTTGCACTTGGCCTTGCTTCTATAATGATTGTCAGAGGTACTGATCAGAGCTCAGATAATTAGCTCAGAAGGGCTCTGGTGACAGCACAGCCATTTACTACCAGACAGTTTACTACCAAAGGGTGAGGGAGACTTTTAATAAAAGCTGGAGACTACTGGGGCCTACCGCCTAGCTCAGCTTTCTCTGCCAAGAGCTGCCACCTTGTGATAAAGGTACATACTTCCATGTCTGAGATTCTTAAAAAGCTTCCAAAGGCAGGCATTCCACACCTTCCCTCAGCATCCAGTTTCAGCACAGAAAAGGAAGCTAGCTTTTATTGAATGGTGGTGCTTTTACAAGAATTAACTTTACTGACACTTGGTCAAGTCCTTGAGATAAGCATTTTAAAACTCATTTTGGCCAGAGAAGAAAAGCAAGGCTGGGGGCTGGGGGTTTAGCTCAGCAGGCATAAGTGCCTGCCTTGCAAGCAGGCAGTCGTGAGTTTGATCCCTGGTACCGATAAAAAGGAAAAAGACAAAAAAGACAAAAAAAAAAAGAAAAGAAAAGCAAGTCTGATAGATAAAATTTTTCCAGTAGTACAAGCTTAAATAGTGACAAAACTCACACTGCAGTACAGGTAAGGACCGTGCAAAATTGTACTCTTTCTCTTGTATTTATGCCTTTCAGTAGGTTCTCGAGTGCTTGGGAGTTTGTCTGAAGGTCTGATCAGCATCTTGTGTTTCTTTTGTTTTTTTCTTTTTCAGACTCATTGTGTAACCCAGGCTGGCCACGGTAATCCTCTTGTCTCAGCTTCCCGAGTGCTGGGATTACAGGCGTGTACACTATGCCCCGCTGTTGCATTTCTTTTAATACAATTGCATTTTGAAGGACCAAAAAGCCCTTGGCTGGGGAGCCCGAATGCTGGCAGTAGTCAGTTTTACAAAGCAGCCTGGGGTCTCAGTGAGCTCCAGAGCCAGGCTACACCTCATTTAACTCAGTGGCTGCTGTCCAAATTGTCCCACGGTCAAGAAGTGGGCTGCTTTTCATGCCTCTTCTGTACACATCTTTGTTTTTTCCTTTTGTCTTTGCCCATCCTTTCCCCCAAATACCATGAAATACTGTTGCCGCCTGAGGTTTCAATTAGGTTCTGGCATGATGAGCTCATGCCACGCTTTGTGTGGCCCCCAACAAGAACATCCTTCCTGGTGCTTCCTTTGAGAGGGAGCCGGGGCTGCTGAATCCCCTTTTCAGGCTGCCACAAGGGAACCTCCGTTTCTCATTTGTCCAAACCCTTGTTTGTCTTTGGGGAAATGAAATGCTAGCATTTGATTGTGACTGGGATAGACTGACATCTTTTAAAGTCTGTGCAGGAATGAAAGGCGAGCTTAACTGGGGTGGGGTGACGGGGAAGGTTATTCTCCTTGCATTGAGGCTGCATTCATTTATTCGTTTGGTAAATAGTGATGGAGGGACTGCCCCTGCCTTTTTCTCCTGGTGGTTGTGCATATTTCGATAGAACGTGTCCTGCCTGCAGAAAGAACCTGCAAAAGTCTCTTAGCAAATAACTGGGGCCTGAAGGGGTTGAAGGTGGCTTGGTAGTGAGTCCCTTCAGGGCCATCATTTCCATCTTAGGGTGAAAAGGAGCATTTTCCACACTTGCCATATAAATCCAATGGGCCTCAGAAATAAACTCACCAGGCCACTAAAGAGATGAACCTTGGTTCCCAGGCTCTTGTCAACCCCAGGGAAAAGGCTAGAGTGTGATAGGTTGGTAGCGGCCACTTTCTGGTACCCTTTGTGTCTGGGCCTGTGTTTGCATGTGCAAATGGCTCTCACTCTGTCTGACTCGCTGTTGATTTTGTTGTGAAAGCTCCTGGGTATCTGGTATTGTGTCCATTCATGTGCCCCTGTACAGAGGCATGTAAATGAGCTTGTTAATTCAACTGAGCAATTGATTAAGCTGTTTTTTAATGTGCTCAGCACTGCCCTAGGCACAGCAGGGAGGCATGAAAGCAGGCCAGCTGGTCTCTGTGACCTTGAACAACACCTAGCACCTTTCTGAGCCCCCTAATTTCTTTCAGGGCTTGCAGATAGGTGATCAGTGAGATGGAAAGATATAAACCAACTGAAAGATAAGACCCATTGGGATTAAGAATGCAAGTGAGTTATTTAGAGAAATAGGCTGAGTTGTATCCAGAGTAAGGTTGCCCAGTTAAACTTAACTTTCAGGTAAACAGTGACTTTGTGGTTAATTTTAAGCATTTAGTATATAGGTATCCCATGCATCAAAGGTTGTATACCTGGACCATTTCCCTGAGCATCCTGTAGGTTATCCAGCAATCTTGATCCAGTGAGACCAGGTAGACTAGGTATTTAACAGAGGGCCTCCCCTCCAGGATGTCTTTCTTTGCTGGCCTTCTTTCCATGCTTGCTGCATTGTACAGGTAAAGACCAACGCTTGGACTCTTCGCTCCGTCATCTCTCCTCAAGCTACTCCTGCTCACCCTCTCATTTCAGCCTTCCCTAGTATGGCACTTCCTGATGCCCTAGACCACTGCTTCCTGTTACAGACTTCCAAGGGACACTCAGCCTTCCCAGCACTTGTCACAGCCTGTGCTTCACACAGTTA